ACATCGAAAGCTCCAGAAAAAGGAGTGATTGTAAATCCAAAAAAAGCGGCCGGTCCAAGCATCGGAATAGAAGAGTTAAACGCTGCCATGCAAGTAGCATTAATGCCTAATCCTGCTTTTGATAAGGTACACTTGGTTTTTGGAGAAAAAATGGAGGCTCCCGCTCAAGTGTCTGTTTTTTCTTCGAATGGCACTTTAGTTAAGCAAGTAAGAGAGGTGAATGTACAAGAAAAATCAACCATCAGTTTAGATATAGACGATTTAAGCAAAGGCTTGTATTTGGTGAAAATTGAAACTGCTCAGGGTAATGTTACTAAGAAATTGGTGATTGAGTAGGATTGTGGTTACTGAATCGTTACAGGTAATGCCTTTTGGCCTGCGTACTCAAAATATTTCTGCTAAATAAATTTTGAAAAATAACAGATGCTCGTTTGAAAAATAAGCTGACCGGAAAACAAGTGGTTAGCTATACACCCCCAGCCTAAAACAAACCTCCAAATTCATGGGTTAAAGCATACCCAATTCTAACTTCGCTTCTTCACTCATCATGTCGCGTTCCCATGGTGGTTCAAAGGTTACTTTTACCTCTACTGAGGTTACTTCGGGAAGTTCTTTTACCTTGGCCTCTACATTACCTGGAATTACCTCAGCCTCTGGGCAAGAAGGAGATGTTAAAGTCATTTCTATGATTACTTTTCCCTCGGCTTCAATTTTAACCGAATAAATTAATCCCAGTTCGTAGATATCCACCGGAATCTCGGGGTCGTAAACCTCTTTGAGTTTGACAATAATTTGTTTTTCGAGTTCAGCGCTCATCTTGGTAAACAAAGGTACGATGATTCAGCCTTCTATAAAAGCCTTGCGTGATTTTTAATCTTTTCGATCATAGCTACTAGGCCATTGGCTCTGGTAGGAGACAGATGCTGCTGTAAACCGATTTCTTGCATGAAAAATAAGGGAGTATCTACTATTTCTGCGGCAGTGTGTCCCGAAAATATTCGCACAATCAATGAAACCAAGCCTTTGGTAATAATGGCGTCGCTATCTGCGTAGAAATGCAATAGATTATCTTTTTTTTTCGGCATGCAGCCAAACTTGCGATTGGCAGCCTTTTACGATATTTCCATCGGTTTTAAAAACAGGGTTTAAAGGAGCAAGTTCTTTGCCTAAATCGATGATGTATTCGTATTTGCCCGTCCAATCATCGAAAACTAAAAATTCTTCAATGATTTCTTTTTGTATCTCTTGTATGCTTTTCACGATACAAAAGAAGGGAAAAAAACAAAAGGAAATGCTACTTTTGCATTAAACTGATAATCTCCTGGAAAAAACTGCCAAAAAGCAAGAAGAAACTCCTTTGATGAAGCAATACAATGCCATCAAGGTAAAACACCCCGATGCCTTGCTTTTATTTAGGGTAGGATCTCTTTACAAAAGAGGAAAAATCACATCATCGCTTACACTTTCTTTATATTTGTGATATGAGTACCGTAGAATTAAAATACAATCTCTTTAAAATGATCGATTCAATCAACGATCAAAAAAAATTAAAAACCATTTATGATTTAATTTTTAAAAAAATAGAGCCTGATTTTTGGGATGCCTTATCTAAGGATGAAAAAAAGGCAATAGAAGAAGGTATTAAACAAGCTGATCATGGTGAATGTATATCGCATGAAGAAGTGATGGCAGAAATGAAGTCAAAATTTAATCTGTAGTTCTTTTGGCTCATAAAATAATTTGGACTCCAAAATCGAAGCAAGATTTCTTTAGCATCGTTGACTATCTTTCGACTCAATGGACAAAAAAGGAAATAAAGAAGTTTGTTGATAAAACAGAGCAAATTCTGGAAAAGATATCG